GGCAACCAGCGGAAACAGGTAGAATTTGTTTACCAGCGCGGCATTTCTTGTAGAGCGTACTACGAACATACATGGCAATCTGCTCGTCCATCTATTTGTCTATCGGGGCATTTAACGGGCATCATCGGGGCAACCAGCGGAACTAGGTGGCGTTTATTTGCCCGCTCCCTCCTTTCTGCAGGGCGTACTACGAACGTACAGGGCAATCCGTTTGCCCATGTATCTATTTATTGGGACATTAATCATAACACATCGGGGCAACCAAATGAACCAGCTGGCATGTATTTGCCCGCGCGTCCTTGCTCTTGAGAAGAACATAATCAGAACATGCAAGACCACGGAACACCACGAGCCACCACGGGACAGAACTATCGATCTCACCATCGAACTCATTAAGTATCTATCGATCTCACCCCCCTCATTATCGGACTCACGGTCGACCCCACCCTCTACCTAGCAGTCTCTCTATCAATCGATCTCACTATCGAAACGCCACCCTGTGGCGCGCCAGATGGTCGAAAACCTTGACTGCTGTGCCATGACGGTGATGACTATAGGGGTGATGGCAATGATGATCCTGGCGATAATGATTGTGATTCTGCTGGCGATGATGGCTATGATGCTTACGATCACGATGGCCGACTCCACGGCACCGCAACCGATGTGGTGAAAGGTTCTTGCTCGAAAGCAACACTCGCCTACCGTCTAGGAGCGGCAACGCGGCGAGGCCTCTCGCAGAGAACCCTGGGAGACGCGTGCGAGAGCCATGCTCACAGAGTGTGGGCGCCGAGGCCAGGGCTGCGCTGGCAGGGTCTGGCGTTACCGCTCGCCTGTCCCAGCTACTCATCCACCTATCGACCTCACTATCGATCTCCCTCAATCTATCGATCTCGCTATCTGTCGATCCCGCAAACGACCTCACCATCGGTCTCACTACCAATTTGTCTATCGATCTCACAATCGACCTCACGGGACTTGTCACGGGACACCGCGCCACGGGACACCACGGGACACCGCGGGACACCGCGCCACGAGACACCACGGGACACCACGGGACACCGGCAGGACACCACCGCCGGCCAACCGGGGGGCGTAGGTAGAGTCGTTGAGCTCAGTTTCGCCCTAGCCACGGCGGGTTCACTCCTCTCGCCCGCCCACGCAACTTCGCCTGACGGCACGCTCGATACGAACACGAAACCGAAATCGACTTCCCGGTTTGGGGTCTCCGTTTCACTTCAAACTCACCCCCCAACCTCCAATCTTTCTTTCTGAGGTGGTGCCCGAACATCGCTCTCCTCCCCCGGCCCATGGCCCTCCAAGGTCCCCGCGGGTTTCGCAGCTTGACGCCCCTGTCTGGTCACGCGCTCTGCGGTGCCTTCGGTGTCTCTGTCGAATCTCGGATCGGACCAAAGGGAGGACGGACGGCGCATCAGACACCTAGGCGGTGCGTGGACGAAAACGGCAAGGCGTGCGAGCGCATCTTCCAAAGCCAAGCGCCGCACGAGCAAGCATCTCCTGTCACACCCAAGGGGAAAAGGAGAAAGGGTGAAGAGAGGGATGAGGGCCCAGGCCCAGTGAAGAGGGGGTCAGCGACTCAGCTCACGTGGCTGATCTTCGCAGCGCCTCCTGGAGGCTGAGGCGCCAACGTGTTGAGGAGGGCTGCCCGGAGGTGGGGGACGAAACCTGCCCCGGCGGGGCAGGTTTCGTCCCCCACCCTTTCACAAAAAAAACCCTTTCGCCCGATAAGTGAAGAGTCGAGGTTCTCGGGGCCGACTGGGGGTGATCCGTGGAGCAATCGCGATTCATCTCTATCGCGCTTGCGGGAGAAACGGCGCGCCAGAATTCGGTCCCGCCCAACCGCATCCCGTGACTGTGCCCCTTCCGTGCTGTATCCGTCCTGCATGGTGTTGAACTCCACGTATGAGTCCTGCGCAACGCATTCGCGCATCACGGGTAAAGACACAATGGGGGAAGACATATCGACGAGCATAGAAGAAAACAAACGGCATAAGCATAAACTTTTGGCGCTCCGCGGGGATTCCTTGTGGATCCGCGCTGGATCCCCCTCCCTGGCGCGCGGAGCGTGCCAGGGACAGCGCGGGAGGCGCCGCCGGGGGGCCCAGCGCGGATCCACAAGGAATCCGCGCGGAGCGCTACAAGTTCATGTTTGTGCCGTTTCTTTCTTCGAGAGCAAGGAGGGAGAGGTGACCTGGAAGGTCGCAACGCAAGTGTGTGAGCGATGCAAGTGCGTCCTGTTCACGCGCCAAGCCGAAATGGAGCTTACAGTAGGAGCTCGACCGCAAGAAACCTTTCACAAGAAACCCAACCCCAGAACCCCGGGACGTCCATTGCTTTTTGGTGTGGGAGCGTCACGCTGTCCATAGCAAAGCCATCGAAACCTAGGAAACCCAGGGCACAAGCAGGGTGTTTCTTGGCATGGGCCTCCACTGTACGTGGAGTGCGCGCAGCGCAGGCAGTGCCTTCCTGGCATGGGTGTGCTAGAAGGAGGAGGAGGAGGAGGAGGAGGAGGAGGAGGAGGAGGAGGAGGAGGAGGAGGAGGAGGAGGAGGAGGAGGAGGAGGAGGACGAGGGGGAGGGGCAGGAGGAGGAGGAGGAGGAGGAGGAGGAGGAGGAGAGGAGGAGGAGGAGGAGGAGGAGGAGGCGGGACAGGAGGGGCAGGAGGGGGGATGATGATGATGATGATGAGGAGGAGGAGGAGGAGGAGGAGGAGGAGGAGGAGGAGGAGGAGGAGGAGGAGGAGGAGGGGGAGGCAAGCAAGGTGTTTCTTGGCGTGGGCCTCCACCGTGCCCTCTCGCAGGCGGCGCGCACGGCAGAACAGGTGGCGCGAGCGCGGCGCCCTCCTGCGAAGGCTGGGGGCCTCTTCAGAGGGGAGGGGGCCTTCGGGGCAGCGCCCGGAGGCCTCCGGGAAGGCTCCCTGGAGGCCTGGAGGGCTCGAGAGCAGCTCCCCCCCGCGCCCCCACTTCTCGAGGCCTGGAGGGCTCGAGAGCAGCTCCCCCACTTCTCGAGGCCTCCCCCCCGCGGCCTTCTGAGAAGGCGGGGGGCCTCGAAGGAAGCCTTCCGGGCGGCGCCCGGAGGCCTCCAGGAAGGCTCCCTCGAGGCCAGGAGGGCTCGAAAGCAGCTCCCCTACTTCTCGAGGCCCCCCCTCACGCCACCCACATGTGTGCGTTTTTCGTTGCTCAGACATGAGGTGCGAAGCCTGTTGCGTGCTAGTCCACATGTGTTCGCCGCCAACTCCTCCTGTCGGGCCAGATGCGATCGACAGGTCGGGATGGCCCGTGCGACGGGGAGGACGAGGAAGAACGACGCCCGCCGTCAGACTGCTGGGCCCACCCGGGAGATCGCGAACCAAGATCGCGCTGGTATACATACAAATCATATATCCGCTCTGAGAGCGTGGGCTTGAGCTCGCTCAAGCTTCGCTCGGGGGGGGGGTCGGGATCCGGCGAATTATCCACGCAATTCACTGAACGCTCCAGCGCGGGGGGGGTCCAAGAATCGAGGGGGGGGGGGAGCTCGAGCGAGGACGGGGAAGGGTGGGTCGAGCTCAAGCGGGGGGGGGGTCCAAGAAGGAAGCTCGGGCGGGGACGGAGGGGGGGGGGGTCGAGCTCAAGGGCAGGGGGGGGGGATCCAAGAATCGAGTTGGGGGGGGGGGGGAGCTCGAGCGAGGACGGGGGGGGGGTCGAGCTCAAGCGAGGGAGGGGGGTCCAAGGAGGAAGCTCGAGCGGGGACGGGGGAGGGGGGTCGAGCTCAAGCGAGGGGGGGGGTCCAAGAAACCGGGAGGGCGGGGGGGGGGTCCAAGAATCGAGGGGGGGGGGGGGAGCTCGAGCGAGGACGGGGGGGGGGTCGAGCTCAAGCGGGGAGGGGGGGTCCAAGGAGGAAGCTCGAGCGGTCGAGCTCAAGCGGGGGGGGGGGGGTCCAAGAAACCAGGGAGGGCAGCGGGGGGGGGGATCCAAGAATCGAGGGGGGGGAGCTCGAGCGAGGACGGGGAAGGGGGGCGAGCTCAAGCGAGGGGGGGGGGTGTCCAAGGAGGAAGCTCGAGCGAGGGGGACGGGGGAAGGGCAGCGGGGGGGGGGGGTCCAAGAATCGAGGGGGGGGGGGGGGGGAGCTCGAGCGAGGACGGAGGGCGGGGGGTCGAGCTCAAGCGGGGGAGGGGGGTCCAAGGAGGAAGCTCGAGCGAGGACGGGGGGGGGGGTCGGGGGAGGGGTCGGGGAAGGGGGGGAGCTCGAGCGAGGACGGGGGGGGGGGGAGGTCGAGCTCAAGCGGGGGGGGGGGTCCAAGGAGGAAGCTCGAGCGGGGACGGGGGGAGGGGGTCGAGCTCAAGCGGGGGGGGGGGGTCCAAGAAACCGGCGAGGGGGGGGTCCAAGAATCGAGGAGGGAGGGGGGAAAGAAGCTCGAGCGAGGAGAGAAGAGGGGGGGTGGGGCCAAGGAGAAAGCTCGACCGAGGACGGGGCGGGGAAGGTCCAGCTCAAGCGGGGGGGGGGCCCAAAAAACCGGGGAGGGAGGAGTCCAAGAATCGAGACGGAGGGGGGAAAGAAGCTCGAGCGAGGAGGGGGAGGAGGCGGGGTCGGGCTCAAGCGCGGGATGAGGGGGGGGAAAAGCTCGAGCGAAGACGGGGAGAGGGGTCGAGCTCAACCGGGAGGGGGGGGTCCACGAAATCGGGGGGGGGTCCAAGAATCGAGGGGGGAGGGAGGGGAAGCTCGAGCGAGGACGGGGAAGAGGTCGAGCTCAAGCGGCGGGACGGGGACGTCGTCGTCGTCGTCGTTGTCCTCGTCGTCGTCGTCGTCGTCGTCGTCGTCGTCGTCGTCGTCGTCGACGTCGTCGTCGTCGTCATCGTCGTCGTCGTCGTCGGTCGTCGTCGTCATCATCGTCTGTCGTTGACCCGGTCGTCGGTCGTCGTCGTCGTCATCGTCCGTTCCCACACGCATCGGGAGCGCCCCGGATCGGCGGCACTGGTCTGTTATCTGGGCCCGTCGATGGCCCCTAGAGCCCGAAATCGGCCAGAAACCTTCAGGACCCGCGCCCCTGAGGACCCCTTTCCCTCATGGTGACCCCCCTCCCGCTCGTCGGGCGTGCCGAAGAGAGGGGGGGTAGCGCATCATGGCCCGAGGCATGTGCGCGGACCAGGGGGCGGGCCAGAGGGCATAGTGACAGAAGGCGAGGGGGCCATGACGTCGGGGAGATTTCATTGCGTGGGCCATATCCCCAAGAGAATCGAATCGAGAAATCGGATCGGCGATCGACATGAATCGGATCGGCGGAAATCGGCAGCCGAGTCGGGAGAAATCGACTCGGCGGAACTCGGCAGGCTGGTGAGGCCTTCGCTGAGAAACCGAAATCCAAAGCGGAATCCGCCGTCGAACCGAATAAGCGGAATCGATCGAGATCGAGTCGAAGCGAGCCGGAGGAGTCGAAATGAGCTGTACCCCCCCCCTTCGACGTCCCCTTCGCTCGCGCCGACTCGGGGGCGGCCGAGAGGGGGGCGTCCAGGAGGGGGGCTCGCAAAGCATGGCCCGAGGCATGCGCGCGGACGAGGGGGAATCGCGGAACGCATGGGTCCGCCGCCGTGCTCCTGAGGCACGAGTCGCATTGTTGGAGTACGTGATCGTCTACAGAATTTATTTACCCCAAAATTGATTTTCTCGTCGAGTCATACGTAGGATGTTTGTAGATTTCCGAACGTTCTACGCATTTCCAATGGATTCGACGAGAGAACCAATTCGGGGGTAAATCAATTCTGTAGTCGATCCCCTACTCGAAGTGTCCTCAGGTCCCTCGGCCTGGTCCCTTCAGCCTCAAGCCGCCCCTCACTCACTGAGGTCTCTCCATAGAAAAGGGCCTGGGCCCCAAATGGCCAGATCGGCCGGGGCGCGTCGCGTGGCCCCCTGGGCCCGTCGCGCCCTGTCGCGTGACGTTTCGGGCCCACGAAGGCCCCAAGACGGGCCAGGAGGACCCCCAAGATGCCCCTACGACGGTCCGAGGGGTTCCCGGGTCAGTGAAAGATCGCTCCACGACGCCCACGATGGCCCCAAGACAGCCCAAGATGCCCCCAACAGGCCTCCCTGGAGGCACAAGTCAATGATCTTCTGTAGGTTTTGAAAGTTGGCATTCTCGCATTTTCGGCTTCCCGGCGCTCCAAGACAGCCCAAGAGGCCCCAAGATCGCACCGAAAGGCCTCTAAGACGGCCCCCAAACCGCCAAAAAGGGCACCAAAACTGCCCAAGAGGCGCCCAAGACTGCCCAACAGGCCCCCACGACGGCTTCAGGAGGGGGCCTGTACGGGGGACCCGGACGAACACTTCGAGCCCTCGGCTCCGAGAGGCTCACAGGAGGTCCCAAGAGGCCCCCACGAGGCCGCCAAGAGGCTCCAAAAGGTACCTAGGAAGCCCCAAGAGGCCCCCAAGAGGCCCCCAGGAGGCTTCCAGGAGCCCCCCAAACTGCCTCCAAGAGGCCCCCGAGAGCGCTCCGAAGAGATCCCAAGAAGCATCCCTGAGGTCTCTGACCCCCAACCCAGGCACGGTGGCAGGATGGCCGTCGATAGAAGAAGGGGGCCATAAACTCTAGAGAGATATTATGGCCCCCACCATGATCTCCGCATCACCCCCCTCTCAGGGGTCGACCAAAAGAGCGTTTTACGTTGTCGTTTCGTTTTCGCTTCAGGCGTTCTAGAAAACGGTCCGACCGATTGCCCCCACACTGTGTTGTGGCACAACTCCGAACGCGTGACTGGCCAGTGGTGAGCCCAGAATGAAACCAATACGAAAACGAAGAGAACAAGGACCCGATCCACGAGATTACCCCAAAAACGTTTCGGTCGACCCACGCCCCCTCTTGGCCGTCCCTGGCCCGCGCTCGCGCCGACACTTCGCGCCGGGGATGGGCCGCGCTCCCTGTCGAAGATCCCCTTGTGGGTGCAGTTCTTGCCCCGCACCGGCGCCTCGATCCTGGAGGACGACGCGCGCCGCGGGTCCCCCCCAGCCCCACCCCTCCTTCTGAAGGAAGGAGGGATCAGGGAGGGAGGAGGAGGAAGACAAGGAAGGAAGGAGGAGAAAGGAGGGAGGAGGCGGAGGAGGGAGGAGGAGGGAAGAGGAGAAGGAAGAGGATGAAGGAGGAGAAAGGAGGAATGGTGATACAACTGTTCAAACGTTTCTGGATTATTCCGGGCCTCTCGAGGCCTCCAGATGCTTCTGGGATCTTTCCATCAGCGTCTGTCCCATGCCAGACACACACATCAATATCACACAACCAACTCACAATAATGACCATGCGACAACACACATGACACCACTCGGCATAATTCTGTCAGGTCATTGATCTGCCCACCCACTCATGCATGGCAACTACTGCAACGTGTGTGTTCGTTCGCCCATCCGGGAGCACATGACAAACAATTAGCACAAACTCATAACACTTCATTCCGCGTCTTCCGACTTCCCTGCTAATCCAATGATTTTCGTATTGGGCAAGAATCATGATCCCCTTCCTCTTCTCCTTTCACGCATCACCTTTCCACAACGTGTCCTACCTTCTTCCCCTCATCCTCTTTCCTTGGCCCTTTCCATGAACCTTTGACTCAGGTGTAACAGCTCAATAAGCTTTGACAACAGATCAGGTGTTTGACGCTCTGAGGTGTAACTGTGCCTGTTGCAGCGACAGGGGAGCTGTCACCGAATGTTCGCCTACTTGCCATGCGCGCCGACATCTCTGCGGCTGAAGATAACCCAAACTTGCCAGGCATCTGAGTGACTGAATCAGACACCGCGCGGCAAACTGGCCAAGCCATCGCTCTCACTTTCTTGCCCTCGCCGACCTGCCTCTGGCCGCCTCTGCCTCGCCTCATCCCCCGCACGTCGTCACGATCCCACAGACCAGCGCGCGGCGTGTATACCGGCTGGCGATGCGAAGCGCGAGCCACAGCGCGGACCGAAGGGCGCGCGTAGATCGCGCCTTGAAGCTGCACGGCCCAGCGAACCAGCAGGAAATCACAGTCATCGTGCTACCATGAGGGCTGATGGATGAACGAAGAGCGATGGGGCTTTCCTAGACACGGCGAGCCTCGGCAACGAATGAGTCCGCCGACCTAGACTTACGGAACGGCACGAACACCAGAGCCCCTCATGAACCAGGCAGACAGACAGACAGACAGACAGACAGACACAGAGAGAGAGAGAGAGAGAGAGAGAGACAAGCAAGCCAGGCGGTGCGTGGCCGTGGGCACATATCATACGGAGCATGAGCGACTATAGCGAGGCAGAGCGCGCGCGGGGCACTCACGGAGAAGGTGCTGCCGGCATCGGCGCTCCCAGAGCGCTGGGGTGCAGGCTGCCTGCGCCGCATGAGGCAGGAATGGTCTTTCTCTCGGCGCCTTGCCTCTGCACCCCGAGAACGAGGCCTGGGGACGTGCCGAGCTCTGATTTCCAGAGAATGAAGGGGCCCCAGGACACACACATAAATGCACACAAATAAAACAAATCCCGTATATTTTACCATATTTTTGTGGTTTTCGTCTTCCCCCCCACTTCCCGTATTTTCCCATGTTTTCCTGGGGATCGACGATTGATTGTGTCTGTGTTTTTTTCCCCTCCTGAGTGTCCCAGAAGCCCTGCATCCAAAACAGGCGGTCATCTTTTGGAGAGACGTACTCTGTACTTCCGCCAGCTTCTGCCGACCCCACCGCCGCCTTCCGCCGACAGAGAGATGCCGGCTCCTCGACCCTCGACCCCTCGCAGGCGAGGCCCTCTCTGGAATGCCTGGGGTGCGGCCCGAGCAAACTGCACCCACATCGCGGATGCATCGGCAGCTCGCTGGCGACGCCGGCATGGAGAAACGTCGGGCTCCTGGCCTCGTTTGGGCGGCCTCGGCCCCCCTCCGGGCCCCCTCCGCAGGCTGTCCGCCCCGCGCCCGCGCCGCCGCCCCCAGGGATGGGCGCGCCTCATGAGCGAGACGGGGTCCATGATGGAAACCACCGAGACGGTCTCCTCCACCTTCCGGGCTGCCGCGCCCCTTTCTCGCCATCGCTCGGACGTCCATTCCCTGTGCTTTTTCCGGTTTCGTGCGTGGCTTTCTCGCCAAATGATCAAGGATGCTCCTCGATGGTCCTCGCCGAAGGAAAAATGCACACGTCCGAGCGATGCCAAGCTTTTTCCCCCGCGCCGCTGGGGGAACCGTGGGAAGGGGGCGGGGGGGGGATGCGGGTGCTCAACGACCTGCGCGGCTTGCGGTGTTGCGCAGGCAGCCCCCGGGAGGCGGTCTCGGCCAGCCTCAGCAGGCCCCCCCCTGGATGCAGCCGTCGTGCTGGCCAGAAGGGCTGCAACGAACGGGCTTCTCCGGCCACGGTGAGCCTCGGCCACGAAGAGGTTCCACGACCCAGATCTAGGGCGCGGCCCGAAAGACATAGCCCCTCATGGACCGAACGTTGTCGTGATGTCAGCGCCTTCGCTGTATGTGAGCACCGCCAAGCCTTGCCATCAACGACGCACGGCATGGTGCTGCCTTGACGACGTGAGCCTTAGCATATGACGCCGCATGAAGCGCTTCAGCCTGGAGCGATCTCAGCTCCCAAGGAGCTTTCCAGAGGATGTCAGCCCAATCTTCCGTGCGAATTCTGTGCCGTGGGCCCCAAAGCCTGAAACAGGGCCCCAGAAGGCGTTCCACCTTGACTGCCCGCGCCGGCGTCGCTGCCGCGTCGAGGCGGCGGGAACCCGCCGTATCCACCCAAGAGCACTCGTTCCTTAGAGGAAGAAAAACGGCATAAACATATTTTTTTTGAGGTCCGCGCGGATTTCTATCTGGGCTAGATTCCCCTCCCTGGCGCGCGGAGCGCGCCAGGGGCGGCGCCAGAGGCGCCGCCAGGGGGGCCCAGCGCGGATCCAAGAAATCCGCGCGGAGAGCCACAAGTTTATGTTTATGGCGTTTTTTCTTTTTCGATTCCTGCAAGCGGTCAGTTGGCATGCGCGGGCCCCAAAGTCTCGATGTCGGCGCTGTTCGCAGAAGCGAGGGTGGGAAATACGAGGGTCTAGGGCTCCTCCAGAGCCGTAGGTTTAGCCAACGCGGACCGCAACATCCCCACGTCGATCTCAATCGATTAAACTTTCGGCCAGCGCCCACGTGGTCCCAGGCCTCATCCCGTGCACCACGGTGCCACGGAGTGGACCGACGCACGAGCGTGGTAGAGCAAGGCGGCGCACAAGTGACAGGACGGACATATTCGCAGATCTGACGTCGTGAAAAACCACAGCGCCTTGGAAAAGCCTGCCAGTACTCTCGGGAATTTGTTGACGGGGCGGGGGGTGGCAATCAACGGGGAGTGAAGACACGTGCACACTTCGTACATCCTTTGGGCCAGCGGTGGCAGCTTAGGAGCCACTGAGAACCCCCTTAGGACTGCTCTCCTGCAATACTCGATCCCTCCCCCTGTTTATTGCCCCCCTCCCGTTGTCCTCGACCCGAGAGCCTCTCAAGTCGGACCGATCCATGAGGCCTCCGGGGCCCGCAGCGAAGCGAGAAAGCCCGCCGTGCTTCTCCACGACGCTGGGACGGTGAGGCCCTCCCCGCCCCTGGGCGAAACCCAGAGGACGTCAGCGGGGGGGGTGGGGTGTAGGATAAGGTCCTCCTCCTCCTCCTCCTCCTCCTCCTCCTCCCGAGGATGCGTCGGCGATGCTGCAGCACGACCCTCCCGCCCCCCGCGGTGGCCCTCCTCTCAGAAAGCCCCTGCGGGGATCCCCCTGGGGGGCCTGCACCCTCGGCCGGCATCCCCAAGGCCGCGAGGGAGCCGCCCTCCACACCGCGACCACTCTTGACTCGTCAACCGGCAGAGATCACAAGAGCACTCCCCCGCCTCCTCGTCCTCCTCCTCGTCCTCCTCCCCCCCCTCCTCCTCCTCCTCCTCCTCCTCCCCCTCCTCCTCCATCTCCTCCTCCTCCTCCTCCTCCTCCTCCTCCTCCTCACGAGATGCCGAGCACCGGCTGCCCAAGTCTGAAGGAGATCCGACCTCCGTCCGTGCAGCTGCTGCACCATCTGCGACTCCGAGCGGCGCCGTCTGGGCAGATCCGCGCAGGCGCCCAAGCTGGAGGAGGAGCCGCCCTCCGTCCGTGCAGCTGCTGCACCACTTGCGACTCCGAGCGGCGCCGTCTGGGCAGATCCACGCAAGCGCCCAAACTGGAAGAATGAGCCACCCTCAATCCGTGCAACTCCGGGTCGCCCAAGCTCGCGCCCCGCGAGGCGCGACGCTCGGTTATCTCTTCGCGCCTTAGTGCCGCCGCCCTGGAGAAGGGCGCCTGTCCAACCGGGGCCGCGAGGCGCTTGGGGGGACCCGGGTACCTGTTGCAATACAGTCGGGGTTGATTGGAGAGGACACGCGAGAGGACACCAGACCCTTCCGAGGGCCACATTGCCATAGGAATGTAAGAAGGCATGGGTCGCGAAGCTAAGGACACAAGGGTAGCTTTGATTTGGCCGGGTCGTCCTACTAATCAGTCTCGACTGTACACATCTAATCAATACAACGAGTGTGCACGGCGCTACGGCGAGCGCCGCAACTTCAGAGAGGGGCACGCCCTGCATCCGTGTGACTGTGGCAGCCGTTGGGGTCGAGTGTGGGCGGTGTGCGGCTGAAGTCCTGCAATACGGAGAGTCAAACACCAAGCAACACCAGGCCTCCCCCCTAACAGAGCTCGGCCAGAATTTCTCCCTCGTGCACCGAGCAAGCGCCCGAGGATTTTCAACGCCCCGACCGTCTGCTGAAGCCTCCGCCCGCATTGGTCCAGCCCACGCCCTGGGACCCTCACAACTTAACGCGTGCCCTGGAAACATGCTCTCGCCTCAATTCCACCCAACCGCTTGTCGGGAGAACGCGGGCGGCTCCCAAGCTTCTCAGAACCGTGCTGCCGCCACGGATGTGGCCGCACGCCCGTGGATGCAGAAGCCGATGAGAATCAACAGCAGCATTCTGCGTCAGTGGAGCTCTCAGGCTGCGCAGAAGTGACGTCCAGGGGCAGTCATTTTTCGGGAGAAGGAGGCCGAGAAGGATGAGGCGAGGGGGGGAGACAGCGCAAGCAGTCGAGCGGCGGACGGCACCGACGCAGATCGGGAAAAACTCAGACGATCTCGAGCTGGACTCCTACAGAGCCGACGGCCGGCGCGGCGGGCGAAACGCGCCCGCGGCGTCCTGTCAACCATGTCCAGAAGGCACCTATACACCACCACCATGCCTGGCCAACGCCATTATGGGCCCTGGCATGGCCATGGTGTGTACGCCCTCGTGGCCGAGGCCAGGCATGGTGGTGCATAACTACATATATGTATGCATGTATGCATGCATATCTGTAAGTCTGGATGCATCTATAGATGTATGCATGTATGTATGTATGCATGCATGCGTGTATGTATGTTAGTATGTATGTGTACATGTGTGTATGTATGCATATGTATATATATATATATATATATATATATATTTACGTATAGATATATGTATGGATGTATGCATGTATGTATGCATGTATGTATGTATGTTTGTATATATGTATGCATGGATGTATGTATGCATGCATGTATGTGTGTATGTATGTATGCATGCATGCCTATATGTCTATATGCATGTATGCATGTATGTATATACGAATGTAACTGTGTGTATGTATGTACGTACGTACGTCTGCATGTATGTATGTATGGTTGCATGTATGTGTGTATGCACGTATGCATGTATATGTGTATGCATACATGCAGAAATATATGCATGTATGTATGCATGCACGCATTTATGTACGCATGTATGTATGTATGCATGCATGCATTCATGCATGCACGTATGCATGTATGCATGCATGCATGTATGTATGTATATATGTATGTATACATGTGTGTATGCCTGTATAGATGTATGTATGTATGTACGCATGCATGCATGCATGCATGCATGCATGTATGTATGTATGTATGTATGTATGTATGTATGTATGTGTGTGTATATGTATATATGCATGCACGCATGCATGCGTGCATGCAGGTACGTATGTATGCATGCATGCATGCATGCATGCACGTATGTATGTATGCATGCATGCATGCATGCATGTATGTATCTATGTACACAAGTGACACGTGTGTGCCCAAGCTCATACAGAACATGAAAGGGCGTTTGAAGCAGGAAAACACCATGACTGCAGGATCGGAGATGGAGAAGGGGAAGCTGGGGCGGCGCCGTCTGGGCGTGCCTAAGGGAAGGGGAAGAGGCAGGAGGTGAACGCAGAAGAATCTAAGATCGAGGTCGCACTCGAGCGCAAGTGGGGTTGCCACACCTTGCGATGTGTGTACCAGGGCCCCCAAGAAACCTCAGGAGGCCCGACTTGGATACCGGAAGAGGATCCAGGAGGCCCCGGGATTGTGTGTTGTGTGTGTGTGTGTGAGTGTGTGTGTGTGTGTGCGTGTGTGTGTGTGTGTGTGTGTGTGTGTGTGATGTGTGCTCTGTGTTGTGCGTGTTTTCTGTGCGTTGTAGGTGTTGTGTGTGTGTGTGTGTGTGTGTTATGTTTGTCTAGCGTGTGATGTGTTGGGTGTGATTTGTGTCTCTGTGTGTGCATGTAGTTCTGAGGCCGCAGGAGGCCCCAGGAGGCCCCAGGCGGCCTCAGGAGGCCCCAGAAGACCCCAGGAGGCTCCAGGAGGCCCCAAGAGGCTCCAGGAGGCTGCAGGAGGCCCCAGGAGGTTCCAGGAGACCCCCAGGAGGCTCTGAGGCGGGGTCTGGGGTACCAGATGGTAGAAAAAGCCCCAAGAGGCCCCAGGAGGTTCCAGGAGGCTCCCAAGAGGCTCCGAGGCGGGGTCTGGGCTCGATTTTTGGAGGATGTCTCAGGCGAAATCGCCATTCTCTGAGAATCGGGGTCAAAATCATTGAAATTACTATGTATTTTTGAAGGTTTTATGTTAGAATCTATCTGCGTGAGGGGTGCCACCGGTTTTCAGAACTTCGAGGATGTCCCGAGCGACACGGCCAGAAAATCGCGAACGCGGTGCCCCGCGTACGCATTAATCGCTTCTGAGCTCTACTCCCTCGGAGAGGTGCGTATGATAATATGTATACATGTATGTATGCATATATGTATGTATGTGTATATATATATATATATATATGTATGTATGCATGTATGTTTATATGCATGTATGCATGCATGTATGTTTATATATATATATATATATATATATATATTTGTACATGTATACGTAGATGTTTATGTCAGTGTATGTGTATGTGTGTATATATAGATATAGGTCTATGTATGCATGCATGTGTATAGATCTATGTATGTGTATAGGTATATTTGCCTTCCGCGGATAGCTATTTCCCAATCTTGGGCAGCCGCTCGCGCTCCCCCGCGCGCGGGGGGAGCTGCAGGACCGGCTCGAGTGCCAGCGGCGTGTGGGGCCGAGTCCAGTCCACGACGGTCCTGAAGGGCTTCTTCTTCACCTGCGGAGCAACGGTAGGGGGGACTGGCACAGGGGGGGGGGGAAACATCGACTGACAGTCGGCGATACCTCGCTGGCAGATCGGTGACATGCCCCCGATAGCGAAACCGCACGTTCCTGGGTGGGGTGGGCCATCGGGCCGGCTATCGGCGATCAGTGGGCGATTGGGGGTCGATGCGTCCGTCCCCCCCTGAGCCTATCCCCCCCTACAGTCAAACCGTATCATCAGGATGCACGATGAGGGTGTAAGGGCCTTGGAAGGCCATGTCGATGCTCTGCGAGCGGGGCGCGGCCAGGGAAAGCGGCCGAGGATAGGCCGAGGAGGCAAGGATGCAAGGGCACCCTTTGGAAAACTGCCCATCCCTCTTGTTCGGGTTGACTTTAACGTTGCCCCTGATCACCGCGGTGCCCTTCATCCCAGTGCGCGCGTGCACGTCCGCGCCGTCGCGGGAGGCCTCCGGGCTGGTGCCAAAGTTGGGGAGCGACTGCGTCGCGAAGTTGCCGCGGCTCGGCATGCCCGCCTGCGCCTCTCGGGGGCGTCCCAGAGGTGGGCGTCAAAGATGGGGCTCGCAAATCGTGGCCCGCGGCGTGTGCGCGCCCCAGGGTGTGGGCCAGGGACGTCTGAAAATATAGAAGAGGGGCCATAACTCAATCGTCCGTCGTCGACGTCGTCGTCGTCGTCGTCGTCAGCGTCGTCCGTCGTCGGCGTCGTCCGTCGTCGTCGTCGTCGTCGTCGTCGTCGTCGTCGTCGTCGTCGTCGTCGTCCGTCGTCGTCGTCGTCGTCGTCGTCGTCGTCGTCGTCGTCGTCAGCGTCATCCGTCGTCGGCGTCGTCCGTCGTCGTCGTCGTCGTCGTCGTCGTCGTCGTCGTCGTCGTCGTCGTCGTCGTCGTTGTCCGTCGTCGTCGTCGTCGTTGTCGTCGTCGTCGTCGTCGTCGTCGTCGTCAGCGTCGTCCGTCGTCGGCGTCGTCCGTCGTCGTCGTCGTCGTCGTCGTCGTCGTCGTCGTCGTCGTCGTCGTCGTCGTCGTCGTCGTCGTCGTCGTCGTCGTCGTCGTCGTCGTCGTCGTCGTCGTCGTCGTCGTCGTCGTCGTCGTCGTCGTCGTCGTCGTCGTCGTCGTGTCGTCGTCGTCGTCCCGTCGTCGTCGTCGTCGTCGTGTCGTCGTCGTCGTCCGTCGTCGTCGTCGTCGTCGTCGTCGTCGTCGTCGTCGTCAGCGTCGTCCGTCGTCAGCGTCGTCCGTCGTCGTCGTCGTCGCCGTCGTCGTCGTCGTCGTCGTCGTCGTCGTCGTCGTCGTCGTCGTCGTCGTCGTATGTCGTATGTCGTCCGTCGCCGTCGTCGTCGTCGTCGTCGTCGTCGTCGTCGTCGTCGTCGTCGTCGTCGTCGTCCGTCGTCGGCGTCGTCCGTCGTCGTCGGGGTCGTCGTCGTCGTCGTCGTCGTCGTATGTTGTGGTCGATGTCTTCGGCGATGTATGTCGTCGTCGTCGTCGTCGTCGTCGTCGTCGTCGTCGTATGTCGCCGTCGATGTATGTCGTCGATGTCTGTCGTCGTCGTCGTCGTCGCATGTCGTCGTCGATGTCGTCGTCGATGTATGTCGTCATCGTCGTCGTCGTCGTCACGCCCGTCTTGGCCGCTCCCGAGCCTCGTCCTCCGCTCTCGGCGACCGGGCCCCGTCGGGGCCGACCCACTTCTCGTGCAGCATGGCGTTGACCTCCAAGGACCGCTGGAAGCGCCGCATGAACATCCGGATCTCTGGCAGCTGGACCAGGAGCTCGCACCGCTTCAGGCACTTGCGCACGTCCTGGACTATGAACTTGAGGCCCTGGACGAACTCCTGCTCGACCGGGGGGGCCGCCTCCTCCTTGCCGTCATCCCCCTCGGCCGGCTTCGCCATGTTCTGCTCCAGCTTGCCCTCCAGCGCCAGCAGCTGCTTCTCGATCTGCATCTGCCGCTCCAGGTACTCGGCGGCCTCCGCCGCCGCCGCGGCCCCCGCCTGCTCCTCGCCCTTCGGCGGGGGTGCGTCGTCGGCCTCCTGCCAGAAGGAGCCCAGAATCAAATCGATGAGGCGGATCGGCGATCGTTTCTTGTTTTTTTTTTGGGGGGGGTTGTTTTTGTTTTGTTTGTTCTCTGCATTTGCGCGACATATGTGATTGCTTTTGTGATCGGCGATCGAAATACACTAGATTGGCAGAAATCGGCAGCCGAGTCGGGAGCAGTCGAATCGGTGGAGATCGGCAGGCAAACGGCAGCCACATCGGAGCCCGAGGCCGCGCCGCATCGGAGTCGGCGTTGGTCGACCCGGGACCGCGGCCGATGGAGACCGAGCCCCAACCGAGTCGGAGTCGAGCGGAGCCCCGGGCCTCCCCCGGCGGCGGGCCGAACGGCACCGTGATCGCCTTGACGTACTCCTCCACCTCCTCGCGCAGCCTGCCCGCCGCCTGCGCCGCGGCCTCCGCGGCCGCGGCGGCGGCCTCGGCACGCTCGGACGCGTGCGGCAGCTCGGTGGCCTCCGTGGCCTCGCCCGACGACGTGGCGTTCACCGCCTTCCAGTGCCCGAGCTAACCAGCGTCTCGGCGTCGTTCGTTTTCGTTCTGTTTTCGATGTCCCTTGTTCTATCCTCGTTCCGCCTTCGCTGCAAACCGGCATCAAAACGAAAAGGGGCACGAAATCGCCCAACCACCGTTTAGCTCGAGCCCTGTCGCCTTCTCCCTATTGCTGGCGCGGCTGGAGCCCCTGCTGTCCCGCTTGTGGACGGCCTCCATCTCTCTGCTCATGGTCTTGAGGGCTTTCCTGCAGCGCAGGAGACACACGTGCAGTATAGCCGGAGTGCAGTATCCCCAAACAGGGTTTTTAAATCCACTGCGGTTTCCAAGGTCGATTGCGTGCCCGTCCAGTGCGGGCTGGCATGGCATGTTAGAGCATGATAGCATGATGTTTGCACATGAGATGATTACACGAAAACTTGTGTGACACATGCCTATCAGGAAGCTCATGTTAGAGGGTGTCGTACTCTCTAATGCTGTGAACTCGGAAGCAACTGTAAGAGGAAGCGGGGAAGGGCACCGAAACGGGGGGACATGTCGTGATGGTTCCCCTGGGGATGATATCGAGAGGTACGCGGCGCACGTCTCAAAAGAAATCTCGTGACGTCGGATGTCTGGGGAGGGCGGAAGGCAGGGCGCGCATGACGGATGCTGAGGCGGCAGAAACGACGACGGCGGGGACGGGGAGGCGGAGGCAGAGGCGCAGCAACGGGAGGTGGGAGGCGGCAGGAGGGAGGAGGGAAGAGGAGCCAGGCGGGAAGCGGGAAGAGGGAGGCGGGAGAAGGAATGAGAGAGGTTGTGATTGGAGACCCTGGGCTACGAAACGTCTCAGGCAGAACGGGCGAGACCATCTCGCTCGCAACATCTTCGAGCTTCGCATTGTGAGGATAGCTCAAGCGAAACGGGCCAGACCACCTCGCGAGCGACATCTTGGAGCTCAGTATTGGAAGGATGTCTCAAACGAAACGGGCCGGACAACCTCTCGCACACGTTCTGACAAATCCACGTCACACTCGCTTCCCGTTAGGTCCTCTCCTGCAACTCCCTTCCTTCTCCCTCCTCCTCCTCCTCCTCCTCCTCCTCCTCCTCCTCCTCCTCCTCCCCCTCCTCCTGCCTGCTCCCTCATCCACATCATCCTCCTCTTCCTTCTCCCTTCCATCTTCTTCTCCTCCTCCTCCTCCTCCTCCTCCTCCTCCTCCTCCTCCTCCTCCTCCTCCTCTTCATCCCGAACGGCATCTCGGAGCCCAGAGTTGCGAGGACGGGCTGGACCACCTCGCGCGCGGCATCTCGGACCCACAGTTGCGACGATGTCTCAGGCGAAACGTGCTGCGAGGAAGTCTCAGGCGAAACGGGCCAGACCACCTCGAGCGCGGCGTCTCAGAGCTCCGAGTTGCGGGGGCCTCCTGGGGCCTCCTGGGGCCTCCTGGGGACCTCCTGGGGCTTCCTCCTGGGCCTCCTGTGGCCTCCTGGACTCCACCTGGGGCTTCCCGAAGCCTCTTGGGGTTCCCAGGGGGGTATATCCAACATGTGGCCGTTTGGGCCCGTCAAAATGGGGGGGGGCCACAAGAGCAGGAAAAATCAACGAATCGACACCGGATGGGTATTAACTTGACACGTTCTGATAGGGGGCCTCCTGGGGCCTCCTGGGAGCCTCCTGGGAATCTCCTAGGGACCCCTGGGGCCTGTCCTGGGCGTCCTGCGGCCTCCTGGAGCTCTCTGGGGCTCCCAAGGAGAATATGGAACATGTGGTCTTCTGGGCCCCCAGGCTGGACCACCTCTTGCGCGGCATCTGGGAGCTCAGAATTGCGAGAATGTCTTAAGCGAAACAGGCCGGACCACCTTGCGCACGGCATCTCAGAGCTCAGAGTTGCGAGGATGTCTCAGGCGAGACGAGCCGGACCACCTCGCGCAGGGCATCTCAGAGCTCAGAGTTGCGAGGATGTCTCAGGCGAAACGGGCTGGACCACGTAGCGCCTGGCATGTCAGGGCTCAGAGTTTGGAGGATGTCTCAGGCGAAATGGGCTGGACCACCTCTTGCGCGGCAGCTCAGAGCTCAGAGTTTCGAGGATGTCTCAGGCGAAATGGGCCGGACCACCTCGCGCGAGGCATCTCAGAGCTCAGAATTTCGAGGACGTCTCAGACGAAAAGGGCCGGACCACCTCTCGCGCGACATCTCGGAATGCAAAAGTGCGAGAATGTCGCAAGTGAAACGGGCCGGACCACCTCTTGGGCGGCAGCTCGGGGCTCAGAGTTTGGAAGATGTCTCAAGCGACACGGGCCGGACCACCTCTCGCGCGGCATCAGAGAGCGCAGAGTTGTGAAGATGTCTCAGGCAAGACGGGCCGGACCACCTCGCGCACGGCATATCAGGGCTCAGAGTTTGGAGGATGTCTCAGGCGAAACGGGCTGGACCACCTCTTGCGCGGCATCTCGGAGCCCAAAGTTTCGAGGATGTATCAAGCGAAATGGGCTGGACCACCTCTTGCGCGGCATCTCAGAGCTCAGAATTGCGAGAGTGTCTCAGGCGAAACGCGCCGGACCACCTCGCGCACGGGAGGATGTCTCAGGCGAAACGGTCTGGACCACCTCTCGCGCGGCATCTGGGAGCCCAGAATTTCGAGGATGTCTCAAGCGAAACAGGCCAGACCACCTCTTGCGCTGCATCTGGGAACTCAGAGTTTGGAGAATGTCTCACGCGAAACGCCCAATCCCGGACAACTCAGAAACGAGAGTTGTGAGGATGTCTCAGGCGAAACGGCCCGGACCACCACATCTTTTTGAGGACGTCTCTGCTTTGATTTCCCTCGGCCAGAGTTATGTAGCTTCTATCACAACAGCACCCCGTTCAGCAAGCTGTTTGGGGAATAAGCGCCCAAAGTTTCGGACGTCCGCGCAAGCTTCTTGGATCGGCGCCGATGCCCCTCTCCCTGGCGAGTGGCACGCGCCAGCGGCGGCGCCGGAGGCGCCGCCAAGCGGATCCAGTGTCGACCCAAGAAATCCGCGCGGAAACCCGACAATACAAACACATATCTAGATGCATGTATGTCTGTCTGTCTGTCTGTCTGTCTGTCTGTCTGTATGTATGTATGTACTCATGTAGATACACCCGTATATATGAGCTAGCGTGGACCCCAAACCGTGTGATTCCAGCAATAGATGCCGAGTGTTGCAGTATGGAGACTTGGAGTTGTCAGCTCAACTGCTCGCGCAATCATTCCATCCACCCACCCGCAACTTGGCTTGCAAAACCCATGCGGCGGCGATTGCGATGAGTGCTTGGTGTTGGCTGGTGCATCTCTGCGGCCGCGCTAGCCCGCGCATGCTCGCGCGCACAGCGACCAACTAGTTTGACGCGACCGACGCGGCCGCGGTGGCGCTGACCGCTTGGCACTTCCCAACGAGCGCTTCAGTCCGAGACGATGAATTGGCGGGCGCGGTATCATGGCGACGTCGGCAACGGTAGACCCCATGGTGATGGTGGCGATGATTGAGTCGATGATGACTATGACGACGGCGAGGCCAATGACGGCGCCGATGCTGATCACGCCGATGACGATGATGATGTCTTCGCGTCGGTGATGAAGGTTTTGGACGGGGTTCGACATGCGCGAGCGGCCGACGCGCGCGAGTGGACCGCATGGTGTTATTTGACAAGAGCCGTGCCCCCCCAACACGCGCGCAAGGGCGTTCGAATGATTTCGGCAAGCGGCGCGAGAGGCCCATTCTATCGAACCGGATGAAAGTTTGAACGCCTGGTGGTTTTCTGGAGAATTCGCAAGAGCGCGCACACACCACTTGTTGATCAAGGTTAAAAACCGCACCAAATGGATGTTGTCAAAACGTGTGTGTTTCTAAACGTTCTCGAGACACTCGATGTTGGAATCCTTATGAAACCTACGGTGCCGAAATATTGGTGGCATGTGATGACCAGGTTGAAGAACTTAATGCTTTCTTCAGAACTGGCAAAAGCGCGAGCGCATGTTTTTCTTGTTGAACATTCGTGTTGCGATACCTTATTATGTGCGTGTGTGTGTGTGTGTGTTTTCGGGGCACTCGCTTTCGAATTTGTTGCGCGACTTACGTTTCCTGGTCGAAGAACTACGACATGCGCGCGCAACGACGCGCGCGTGTGTACTTCGTCCTATTCGTTTGCATGATCGTCTTGAACACGGATCATGTCTTATCAGCGATTGTGCGCGCACTGTATTTTCGAAATTGCAGAGGATGAAGGGGGGGCCGATCAGCGTCGGCCTGGTGTGGTATGAGCTCATATTTCGCATGGGCGATGGGGCAGACTCATATGTAAATTGCAATGCGAAAGAATGCCCCGTTCAGTCGGGGGGGAGGTAGACCCTAGTGCTCTTTTAGAAAGGAGACGCTGTGTGGTGCAATCTTTGTGGCAATGGCCAGTATTGGCCAAGTATAAATGTTCCCTCGGAATCGACGAAGATGCCGCTCGTCCGCGGCCAGGCAACTGTGGGGCTCACAGCGGAGCGCGGGGTGCGCGAAGGGCGGGCGGCGTTGGGCCGGGGGGCGGGCGCGGAGGCGGCAAGAGCAGGCAGAAGGTGGATCTGGTCTTCGGCGGCGCAGGAGGCGGCGGGGGGCTGCCCCCTGGCAGCAGCTGGGGCAACCGGGACTGCAAGCCGCGTGGCGTGGGCGAGCACGCGCGCGGTATGCCGCTCCGGCGGCGAGCCGCGTTCTCGGGGTCGGGGGCGGTCGACCGCGCCCGAGGTGCAGCGGCAATCTGCCAACAGGAGCTGCCCGGACAGGACGGCTGCCGCCTCCACGCCGCGGAGTGCCAATCCCAACTGCGCAGGCCTCCCGAGCGCCTCGCCGGCGGTGAGGCCTGCGGGCGCCAGTTCTGGACCCTGCCGCGCGGGTAGGGACCTCGCGAGGAAACTCAAGGCGGCCGAGACCCAGATCGCGGGGCTCCAGGGCACGACCAAGTGCGACGGCAAGGGCACCAGTGCGGGCTGGAGCAGCAGCAGAGCCAGAGCGAGCCCCCGTGGTCCTCGAAACGCACCTCAACACCCTGCTGGGCAGGAAGAGGAAGCTGGAGGCGGCCTACGAAGGAGAGGAGAGGAGACGCCAACAGAAGATGAGTCCAAGCCGCGCGAACCCGCATTACATCAAGACAAATTTGAGGGGTCCCTCCTGAATTAAAAAGCAGCCATGGCCCAGGACCCCGAGCCGCTGTCTAGGCGGCTCCCCGCGCCGCGAACGTCCGAGGCGCGTCGTGTGAGCGCTGGGGGACTGTGGGATCCCCGATGGGCCACGACGGGGTTGCCTGAGCGCCAGCGCCCGACCCGACTCCCCGCCGTGGCATGCACGCCGCGCGCCGAAGACACGCGCGCCGACCTCGGCCAGGCGGTGGCCGAGGGGGTGAAGAGAGCAGCGCTCAACGGAACCCTCGCCCGCCCCCCCAGCCAGGAGAGCCCGCGCCGGAGTCGGCCTCGCCCTTCTGGGCGTGGCCGAGCGAGCGGCGCTCGCTGGCACGCGAGGCCTGCGCGCAAGGGAAGGTGGGGGCGGGGGGGGCTGGGGAGGCGCGCTGGCGCGGGCCCCAGTGGACTGGGCGGAGGCTGCCTCTCGGGGGCGCCCAAACATGGATTCGCGAGCCACGGATCTGGCGCGCGGTCGCCAAGTCCATGGATCGGGGGAGGTGCTCTCCCCAAAAATGCGGCCGGTGCCGCCTCGCTCGGCGGCGGAAATCTGCGATTTCCCATGGAAACGTTGAGTCGGGCCTGTCCCTCTACAGGAGGAATATCCACAAATAGTTGAAACATAATACGGGGACTATTTTTTGAATATTTTTGGGCCAGTTTGGAATGTTTTTGGACTACGTATGTTTTATTTTTCGTCCAAAACCCCCCTGCAGGGGGACATGCCCGACCTAATGGAAACGGGACCCGTCGCTAATCCACGCCCCCTTGATCCATGTTTGCGATCGCCTAAGGGTTGAGGCTGACTCGAGAAAGCCTCGCCTGTGAGCCCGTGCCCCTGGTTGATCCTCCTCCTCCTCCTCCTCCTCCTCCTCCTTCTCCTCCCCCTCTCCCTTCTCCTTCTCCTTCTCCTCCTCCCCCTTCTCCTTCGTCGTCGTCGTCGTCGTCGTCGTCGTCGTCGTCGTCGTCGTCGTCGTCGTCTCCGCGTAGGGGGTGATCTTTTTCGGTGGGGGGAGCAGGCGCTCCCGCTGCCGCGGGCCTGGGCGCGCGGCCGCGAGCGCCCGCGCCGCCGGCGCCGAGGGCGGCGCGCCGCGCCGCCAGCCCACAGGCGCGCCTGCCGCCCCTGTCCTTTGCCGGGGCCCCGCGGCCCCGGGCCCCGCGGAGGCTTCTGCGCGGGCCCGCGGGCTGCCGGGCGGCCCTGCTGGGCCGATCCTCGGCTTCGGCTTCGCTGCGGCTGGCCGCGCCGTGGCACCTGGCGCTTCGGCGTGCGGCGCCCTCAGGAGGCGGGGTCTCGCGGGGGAGGCTCGCGGGGGAGAGGCGCGCGCTCAAGAGCTGGTTTTTTGGCTCGGAGCGCGCCTCCGCTCGACCCTCTCGCGACGGCCCGCCCGCCCAGCCCCAGACGGTGTCAGCTCCCCGCGCGAGCGCGGGGCGAGCCAGCGCTCCCGCTGCCGCGGGCCCGGGCGCGCGGCCGCGAGGGCCCGCGCCGCCGGCGCCAAGGGCGGCGCGCATCGCCGCCAGGCAAAAGGCGCGCCTGCCGCTTCTTTCCTTTGTTGGGGCCCCGCGGCCCCGAGCCCCGCGGTCCCGAGCCTCAGGAGGCTTCTGCGCGGGTCCGCGGGCTGCGGAGTGGCCCTGGCTTTGTTTCCGCTGGCCGTGCTGCGAAACCCGCCCCTTGGACCTGGTGCAGCGCGACTTGGTGGGGGGGCGCAGCAGGGGCGCGCGCGGTCGCGCCTGCGGGAGGGCGGCCGCCGTCGAGGCCGTGCGATGGAGGTTGCGCGCCAGCCCCTGCGTCCCCGGGCCGTGGGAGAGGAGGATGGTCGCGAGGGGCGCGGGCGGCCCCGAGGAGACCGCGGTCCTCGGGCTGCGCGTGGCGTGGGTGAGTCAGCCAGGTGAGGGGGAGCTCGAGGTCGCGGAGCCCGGCGGTGCGGCCCCCGCGGGCCTGCGGGGCCGTCGCGAGGCCCAAGGGCAATGCGGTGCCATGCGACTGCAATGCGGTGCGTTGCAATGCAACGCGATGAAAAGGAATTCATAGCAACGCAAAGCAATCCAAAGCAGTGCCCTGCGATTGCAAAGCAATGCAAGATGGTTCGATTGCAATGCAATGCAATTGTCATGCAATGTTGTGCGATCACACTGCGATGCGATTGCAACGCAACGGGAGGGGGAGCTGGTGCAACGGGTCGGCGGGATGGGCGGGAACGGGGCCGCTGTGGGCGCATCGGGCCTACTTCCTCACAGAGAAGTAAGAACCCCTAAGTGCAAGCAGTGTCTGGAGTCCGCTAGCAAAAGTGACACAACGCCCACACGCGCGCGCACACACGTCGAAATCATCCCAAACACACTGTTTCTGCGAGCATTTCAACATGAACACGTCAACACCCACTAGACTTCCCATCAGAACTCTTGCAGATTTTGATCCTGCGCGCATTTGTAGCAATCGTATGAAACTCATCTAGAACCTGCATTCTCATCTCACCACGCGGCGCATCCACGTTGATCCAACATTCGCCCAGTGCCGCCTCGTGCGTGCCCCGTGCTCTGAAGTTACACAGCATAGATTCTCCTCCCCAAACAAGGATACTCCACCACCCTCCCCACGCCCATGGTGAGCGGATCCCCCCTGGAACCCTGCAGTTCACATATGATTCTGCGTCATTGGTTATTCCTAAATGAATTCGCACCATCCCAGCTAGACTGGTATCACCCTCCATTTCTGTCAAATATCACAGTGCGTGCACATTCGTTTATGCCAAAACAATATTCAGTAATTATCCCTTACAACAGAAATTCACGACGTCCACGCGCGCGCACATTTCGAACTCATACCAAGCATGCTCGTTCTGCGTACGTCTCAAATCGCAATATTGTGCATGTTCTGGCCGCGCGCGTTGACCGAACGTACAACAAGAACATAAGGTTTAACAATCTCGTCCAACACCCGCATTCTTATCTCATCACGCTGCGCAACCGCGTTGATCCAACATGCGCCCAATGCTCGAATCCGTAACACATGCTACCCTGCGGGCCACACGCACGCGCCGCTACTCGCGCGTGGCGAAACCCTTCCGGAACCGCTGGTTTCGACGAACTTTAAGATACAGCTCTTCAGAAGCATGTGCACTTCCGCGCGCGCACTTCCTCATCACCACCACCCTCATCAACGCCACCGCATCACCACCGTTATCGTCTTCGCCAATCGCCGCCACAGCCGCCATCATGACCCAACACCCTTCATCACCGACGCATCACGGACATCACCATCGTCATCGTCGTCACCACCGTCGGCGGCGTCATTGGCCTTGCCATCTTCATCGTCATCATCGCCACCCCCATCGCAACTACCATCATCGTTGCCCGTTGCCGCCGCTGTCGACGTCGTCATGGTGCCGCGCCCGCCCGAGTTACCGACCCGCACTGAATTGCCCGAGTAACCAGCCGGTCGCTCTACGTGCGAGCTTGCGCGCGCCAGTGCAGCTGTATAAATACACTAGCCAGTGCCAAGTAGTCACCGCAATCGTGGACGCATGGGTTGTGCATGAGAAGTTGCGGGTGGGAGGGTGGGATGATTGCGCGAGCAGTGGAATTGACGACTTCAAGTTCTGCAGGGTGGATTGCACCACATAGCTTCCACCAAGAATATCTTGCGCCACATTGCGTACACATTCACAGTGCAATGATTTAATGTTTGGGGTCCACGCTGGCCCCCAAGGCCCCCGAACGGACCCCAAGAGGCCTCATTACTGCCTCCAGGAAGATCCCCAGAGGCTTCCCAAGAGACCCCTGCTGGCGCCCAAGAAGCCTCTGACCCACAAGCCAGGCACGGTGGCGGGACGGGCCGAAGGCCACTGGACTGCCAACAGAAGCTTCAATCAAGCTCAGGTGGCTGGCGAAACGTTGGCTACCTCTTCTTGGGGTCAGCGGAATAGCGTAAGCCTCTTGAACAACTTAATGTTTGGGGTCCACGCTGGCAAATTTTCTATTGCTCGATCCTGTTCTCGTTCACGTCCCCCCTCAGCTGGCGAACCTCCGTCACCAACGCCTGCACGTCGAGCGCGATGTTCCCAGTCGCGTCCGCGGAATTGAGGCTCATCGCCGTGTGCGGCTCGGCCTCCGTTCCCGGCACTATGGCCGCTCGCTTTCCTGGCCCCCGCGGCTTCCCCGCGCTCGCCACCGCCGCCACGTCCTGCGCTCATTTGCCCCGATACGCCACACGTAACCGGTACCGAGCTGGCAAGGAGCTCCGCACGGAGATCGGCAACGCACGCTTGGCGCGATAAACTCGCCAAAAGGCGGGCCAACACGTCGAGCCAACACGCAGAATGCAAACACGGACGTTTTGACCACGGTACGCGCTGCGTTTCAACACGGGCGTATCAGGGCAGCTATAAGGTCCTGCGCCTTCTCCTCCAGCGGCTCCGCCTTGCGGCGAAGAGAAAGACACGGCAGGTATGAAGGGGCCCTGCGACATACAAATAAATACACACAAATGATATGATTCCCAAGACTTTCCAATATTTTCTGGGTTTTTGTCTTCCCCCCCACTTCCCATATTTTCCCATATTTTCTTCGGGGGAATCGACGATTAATTGTGTCTGTGTGTATTTTTTTCCCTCCTGAAGGTAGGAACATAACCTTTCGAAGGTCCGCGCGGGTCTCCTTGATCGGCACTGGGCCCCCCCCCTGGCGCCAGGGGCGGCGTGAAAGGCGCCAGCAGGGGTGTCCAGCGCAGATCCAAGACATAAATCCGCGAGGGCCTTCGACAGGTTCACTGTGTGCATGCAGTTCGCTCTTCTTCGGACCTTCTCTTCCAGCGGCTCGCCCTGCTCTGGGATTGCGACGCTGGCCGCCACGGCGCCCTTCTCCAGTTTGAAGAGTAAGCCCTCGAGCACAGCAACCCTCTTCTCGAGCTTCTCGACGCGGGCACTACCGCCACGCCGCTGTGCCAACCTGGGCCGCACGATGGTCTCCCAGTTCTCGAACACGGCGAGGCCGCCACCGATCGGGCTGCCCGCTGACAGCCCCAAGCCAGGGCTATCCACCGCCCCCGGCGCTCCCTGGGGCATGCCCTGCACCAGCGCGGCTGAGGCTGAGGCGGTCCCCGCCCGGGCGGACTCCTTCACGCCTGGCGCCCGGTATCCTCCTTCGGAGCCGGGCCGGGACGGCCCCGAGTCGCCGAACACCACCATTGAGGCCAACTCGCCCAGCTTGGACTCGATTTCCTCCAGCCTGACGGACTTCTTGCTCCCGCCCCCGCCCCCGCTGCGCCAGCTCTGGCCCGTGCCTAGAGGAGCCACACAACAGAAGCACACACATAAACGTTCGACGCTCCGTGCGGGCCGTCGACAATTCATGTCTAGACTGCTTATTGTTCTCTCCGTGTGCCGCGGAACTCGTCCGTGTTCGCGCTCGCCACCGTGCCCGCGCTCCAGACCTTGGCGGCGCGCACAGGGGGCAAGGGGGAGGGGGGAAGGCTCCTCAGAAGCACCCTTGCCTCTCAGAAAGCGCGGGCCTGGTCTGCAGATGCCGGGCCCGCGCCCTCTAAGCAGCAGCCTCTTCCTGCGAAGCCTTCCCCCTCACCCTCTACCCCCCCTCTGCGCGCCGCCAAAGACCGGCGCCGGCGCCCCCGCAGACGGGGCGCGGCGCTCCCCGCCGGTCTGCGTGCTCGCGTGGCCCACCCCCGGCGGCCCCGCACCAACGGCATCGGCGCCCGCCGCCACGGGCGGGCTGGTGCCGGGCCTGGGGCAGCCCGGGGGCTCCCTGCTCGCGGTCCGGGCCGGGCCGGCGTCCGCCGTGGGGCCGGTGGGCTCCTGCCGGCTGCACGCAGGAGCCCAGACATACCCTGAGATCCTGGCGACTCAAAATTTGTTCGAGCTGGACGTTTTCGCCCAGTGTCGGTCCCTGGGGCACTCACACATGGATCCGGCTCGAGAAATGGCGCAGGAAGATGGGGTCCGGGAGGCTCCAGTCGCGATCACTCACGATGTCTCAGTTTTTTCGAGACGTCGGATCTCAGGGGAGTGAACCTAGGCACGAGTGACCTTCGATGTGCGGCTGTAGGGGGACCCCACACCTGAGCGCGCAGCCCGCTGCTATCGAATTGCATTCAGCCGTCTGGGGGCCCCAGTGGTCCGTCCGCACCGCAGCCCGCACCGAAGGTCACTCTGGCGCTGGGTCACTCTTGCGCGTAGCCGATCCTGCCCCGCCGCTCGGAGCGAGCCCGCGCTGGTCAAGGCCGTCTCCGGGGCCTGCGCCGGGGCGCTATGGGCGAAGTCGGCGCTGGGCCCCGCGTGCGCGGGGGCGCCGGCAACCAGTGCCGCGTTAGGCAGGCGGCCCGCATCTGCCAGCGTGGCCGCGGGCCCCGCGCCCGCGGGGGCGCCGCCACCGAGTGCCGCGCCAGGCAGGCGGCCCGCATCTGCCAGCGTGGCCGCGGTCCCCGCGCCCGCGGGGGCGCCGCCACCGAGTGCCGCGCCAGGCAGGCGGCCCGCATCTGCCAGCGTGGCCGCGGTCCCCGCGCCCGCGGGGGCGCCGCCACCGAGTGCCGCGCCAGGCAGGCGGCCTGCATCTGCCAGCGTGGCCGCGAGGGAGGGGTACGCGAGGCCGAGGGCAGAGTGCAGCTCGGTGTACGCCATCTCGAGCGCCTCCAGCCGCGGGATGTAGCTCAGCGGCGGGGTCTTCTCTGGCTGCGGTGGGCCCTGCCTCTGCGAGCGCGGCCTTGCAGGCCCGAGCATCAGCTCCACCACGTCGCCAGCGCCGCCTTGCGTCTGACCAGCGCCGCCATCAGCACTGGCCTCGCCGCCAGCGCCGCCTTGCGTCTGCCCAGGCCCCGCCTCGCCCCCAAGGCCGCCTGGGAAGTGCGTGCTGGGCTCGCGGAGCGACTCCTTGAGCGCCTCTAGCTCCTCGCGCAAGGCCACTATGTCGTCCTGGGCCTGGGCCATCTCCAACTTTGGGGACGTGACCTTCTCGCTGGAATCGGGCATTTCGAAACTTGCCGAGGCAGCAGCTGACAAATCGATGCCGGCATCTTTGGAGGACTCGAGGTTGGTTTTGAACTTTTCCATCGAGACACCCAGGGTGGACTCGAGTGTCTCTGACATCTGAGCCAAATCGCCTTTCAGCTGTCTGTTGAGCTCGCCTACGGCGGCCGCGGTGAACTCCTGCATCTGTGACAGCAACTGGTCCACCCGGCTGTCGCTCTTCTCGACGCTCAGAGCAAGCTTGTCCAGCTGCGACCTCGTCGCAGCCTCCGCCTCCGTCTGGCTCTTCATGAACTCGTCAAAGCACTGCTGCGAACGCTTGGCTGCCGCAGCATCCCTCTCCAGGGCGCGCACCACAGCAGCCAGGTCAGAGCTGGGCAAGTACGTGTCCTCCTGCGGCAGACCTGGGCATGCAAGATATGGGCTTTCAGGAACACGGGCCCTTGACCCAGGAGCTTACATCCCCCACAGACGACCTGGGGACTGGGGAGAGCCCGAGGAGGCCGATAACAGCGAAAAACATGAGGGAGGAGGAGAAGGAGGAGGAGGAGGAGGAGGAGGAGGAGGAGGAGGACGAGGACGAGGAGGAGGAGGAGGAGAAGGAGGAGGAGGAGGAGGAGGAGGAGGAGGAGGAGGAGGAGGAGGAGGAGGAGAAGGAGGATCCCTCTTCTTTTCGGCGGGGAGACCCTGCGGCGCCCCCTCGCCCCCGCCGCCGCCGGCCGGCGAGGCGCTCTCCTGGACGGGGGCGCTCTGCTGCAGCACCGGTGCCACCTCTGGGGAGGCGGCCTCCTCCTCCTCCTCCTCCTCCTCCTCCTCCTCCTCCTCCTCCTCCTCCTCCTCCTCCCCTCCTCTTGCACGAGGGATGGTGGGGTCGAACGACGGGCTTTCATCCCACCCCATCCTTCCGCGTCGTACCCCCCTCCTCAGACCTTTCGCGCAGCTTGGACCCGCGGAGGTCTGGACCCCTCTCCCGGGCCCAGGCGTATTTTCTTGTTGGCTGCTCCCCCCTCGGAGCCTCCGGGCCGATTATCGGACACCCGCGGGCGGGCAGATCTCCCCTGGAGCAAAGCTCCGCCGATCCCGTCGGCGCGAGTGGGGGTCTTGTCCGCTCGAGTGGTCGTCTCCGTCGATTGTAATAGTCGGCGTCTCTGTCGTCCCCTTTCCCTGCGCCCCCCTTTTCCCTTAGCCCGTCGCCGCTCCCCCCCCTGTCCCTGGGCTCCCTCCTCAAGCGCTGGGCCTGTCGCCGCTCCCCCCCCCTTCCCTAGGCCCTCCTCCTCAAGCGCGCCAGCCGAAGCGAAATTTATCAACGTCGTAATTGAGTCGCATGGAAGCCCCTTCCCTTTGATCCCTCCCACGCCAGGAGGGGGGGTCCGAGGGGTGGTGGTCCCGAATCAGATGCGACTCCCCCTTGGGGATTCCGGGGCCCCAAAAAACCCCAATTCGGGCCAGGAGTGTCCCAAGAGGCCCCCGAATCGCCGAACGATCTGTCCAATACGCCTTGACGGCCTCCGGACGGCCCAAGAGCAATGCAAGACGCCGAATGAATAACCTGGTGTTCCTATACCCTGCTCGAGAACATGGTATTTTCAATACCCTGCTCGCTCTGGCGGGGCCTCCCTTGAGGGGTGGGAATCCAAGTAGCAGCAGCGGTTGACGAGGGAGGAGAAGGAGAAGGAGAGAGTGTTCTTGGAAAACAAGAACCCTTCTCAGGATATGGGGAACAACCGTTGATTTTCCTCGTCGGGCTTTTGAGAGATTTTGCCGTTCTCGCCTTTTTCGGCTTTCCGGCGCTCCAAGACGGCCCAGGAAACGCCCAAAAACATTCCCAAACGGCCCAAAACGCGCCCAAGACGGCCCCAGAAGGAGGCCAAAGGAACACGAACCGAACATCCAAGCCTTCCGCCCCAAAAGGCCCCCGGGCGGCTCCAAGCGGCGCGCAAGGGCCCGCAAGAGGCCCCCAAGAGGCCCCCGAGAGATCCCAAGAGGCCCCCAAGAGGCCCGACTGATGCCTCAATGGGCACTCGAATGGCCCCCACGAGGCCTCCTAACTGCCTCCAAGAGGCCCCCGAGGGGCCTCCCACGAATTCCAACCCCAGGCTTCATACCCGCAACCCAGGCAAGGTGGCGGGATGGGCCGAATGCCATCACACACAGACACAGACACAGACACAGACACAGACACACAACACACACAACACACACACACAGCACACACACCACACACAACAACAACAATTGTAAAAACACCAACAAAGACAATAACAACAACACCAACAACACCAACAACAACACCAACACCAACACCAACAACAACAATCATTTTACGACTGTTCGCCCTTATCTGCTCAAGTGTCCAATAACGCGTATTTCCCACACCCTCGGTACCCGCCCTCTTCGTCTTCGATCGAACCTGGTTTGGGGGGTATACCTTTCTTCCCTGCAGGCCGGGCCCCGGCAAGCGGCGGGGCGGCCGCGGACCGTCGGCATGGCCAGCGGCAGCGCTGATCGGCGGGGCGGCCGCGGACCGTCGACCCGACAACCAAGAGGGACGGACAGGGGACCGACCACGACGACGACGACGACGACGACGACGTCGAGGACGACGGCGACGACGACGAGCGTAAGCGAAAGCGAGAGAGAACGACAGCAGGGCCACGAAGGACACGAAGTAGGCCACGAAGGGCGACAGCGGGGACACGAAGAGAATGCGTATGGGGCTACGAAGAGTTCGAGAGAACGGGGGCCACGAAGAGCAGATAATGCGGGGCCACAGAAGGCAACGTTGGGGCCACTGAGGGTCGCAACTGGCCCACGTAGGACGATGAAGGGCCAGAAACGGCGACAGCGGGGCCACGAAGGGCATGCACATGGGGCCACCATGGGCGCGAACGAGCGGGGCCACTGAGGGCAGCAACGGGGCCACGAAGGGCAGCGAGGGGGCCACGAAGGGCGACAGCGGGGCCACGAAGGGCATGCATATGGGGCCACCACGGGCGCGAACGAGCGGGGGCCACGAAGGGTATACATATATGGGGCCACGAAGGGCAGCGAAGGGGCCACGAAGGGCTGCAACGGGGCCGCGGAGGGCTGCAACGGGGCCACGAAGGGCAGCGAGGGGGCCACGAAGGGCTGCAACGGGGCCGCGAAACAAAGCGAGAGGGGCCACAAAAGGCTGCAACGGGGCCACCAAGGGCAGCGAGGAGGCCACGAGGGGCTGCAACGGGGCCACGAACGGCAGCGAGGGGCCACGAAGGGCTGCAACGGGGCCACGAAACAAAGCGACAGGGCCACGAAGGGCTGCAACGGGGCCACGAGGGGCAGCGAGATCCCGATTCCTAGGTAATCTGTGAGGGAGTCCTAAGCGTGAGCGCGATTCCTGGGTCCGTGGGTGTCGGGAGCGCAGCGTCTGAATGCATTGCGAGAAATTCGAACGCAAGGACGCTATTTTTCAGTAGCTTGCAAGCAAGTCTCTAGCGAGAGCGCGACGCCAGAGCGCCGGGAGAGCGATTCGTGAATACATTGTAAGGAATAATAATAATAAGCGGCGTGGAGGCGCGCAGAGTTCTCGACTTCAGCTGTCTTCTCGCGGGGGCGGCGGCACAGCGGCCTAAATGTAATATGGAAGGAAACTGCTAACCAGTTTCACGATGCGGAAAACGAGACGAAGCTGAAACACTACACGGATTTTAAACTCGGCGGCCAGCCGAAGCTGGGAAAGTCCAGGAAGGCACTGGGAGGGGCCAAGGTAGGCCCCACCAGGCCGAACACAGGCCCCGGGGACAACCGCGCTGACTAGTCGAGCGCCCAGGCTGGAAAAAAACACAGACGCACACAATATTCGACTGCAAGGAGGGGGGGGGGAGGCAAGGGCGGCGCCAACATCAGGCGCGGCAGGCGCCCACAGGCCTGGATGACCCAGGCGCTCACGAGGGCGACCCACCGCACGTAACCGATGTACAGCAGTAGCTAGGTGAGTGGTTGGAGTAAGTGGAGCTATGCGCGGAACGCATGTCCCCACCGCCTTCGCAGGAGCCGAGGCCGAAGCCTTCCAGGCAACTGGAGATATTCATCATACACACCATGCAAGACCTGCACCAGAAGACACTCCATTCCCAATGAATACGATGATGAATGCCAGCGCAACTCAAACCAAAGCATATCGTACGAAGAACCCACCAGCCCGTAACCATCAGAAGACAGTAGCAGGATTAGTGGTTGGAGTAAGTGGAGCTATGCGCGAGGCGCATGTCCCCACCGCCTTCGCAGAAGCCGAGGCCGAAGCCTGCTAGGCAACTGGAGATACTCATCACAGCGACCAGTCATAGACTGCATCCAGTAGATACTCCATCCAATGAATACGATGGTTGCCAAAGTCAATCAAACCAAAGTAGTGCGAAGTACAAAGTATCCGCTGTCGCCAACCCTCATCTCCGAGTTCACTCATCTCCTAGAGTGTTCTGAATCATCTCCTCCATGGCCCCAGGGGGGGGCAGCTCCGATAGCTCGCTTGGCTCCGATTTGGGCGAGGGCGAGGCCCAGCAGGTGGCGCAAACGCGTGCCCGAAGGCAGAGAATGCGCGCCAGAGCCGTCTTGTTGCATCGTCGTGCTCAGATCCACGTTGGCGATCGCAATGTGCAACTTCTTCTTGTTCTGGTCGTAGCACTTGGTGAGGCGGAAGAGACGTATCTGGGTCCACAGGTCCTCCAGCGCTGCTTTGGCTAGAAACTCCTCGTGCCACTTCTTGAGTTCCTCGAAGGTGAGTTGCCCCAGCGCGCTCCCGCGCTTCAATAGTGCGTTCACGAACCCATTGAAGATATGCAGGTGAGGAGGACCCAGCTGGTGGCCGCGACCCTGCTCCTTGACCGTGACTGAGTACTGGCGGCCTGACTCGAGCGCTTCCTCGACCTCGGGAGACTTGGCCTCCGCGAAGAACGTGTCCACCCCGACCGCCCGCAGATCTCTGACGGCCTGGCTGCACACCAGCGCTTGTTTGATCAGCACGGACAGGGTGGCTTCTTGCTTGCGATTGAACCCTGCTTCTCGAAGGCTGCCGAGGTGTTTGTTGCGATCCTTGCGGTCTCGACGGGGCTTGGCTCCTTTTCCTCCGTAGCCCTTCTCCTTGTCCTCCTTCGTTTTCTTTTCTTTGGCAGCTTGCGATTCGGCAGGGGGACCTTCGGCTGAGCGCTTGAGTGCCCGGGAGGGGGCGGCACTCGACATCGCGGTCAGCAGGGCGCGGCGGTAAGTGTTCGTCTCGGATGTGCCTCTGAAGCTGGTCGAGATTGGGCCACCGAGAACAGCTACATATCGGGCAGATAAGCGGCGCAGCGACAATAGGATGTACAGCATGGGCAGAGCTAGCATTGCAGGTACCAGCACGATAAGCAGCACGAATGTGTGATTTAGCAGACCGACGGAAGGCAAACGTTTGCATGCAAAACGGGCACTGGTTGGTCACGACGCACTTGAGTAAGTTGGACGTCTTACCATGGGTACCACCTTTGGTGAACGTGTTGTGCATTGTCAAAGCTTTGCGTGACGTGAAAGAGGCCCCGCAAACACAGCCGTCGTCAGTCAACCGAGTGCACCGAAATCGTAGCGCGGCATCGCCCCACCCCTCCACCTCCTCATCGCACGGCATGGGTCCCAGATCAATAGGGGCCCCAGCCCTCCCAAGCTTCCAGAGTTTCCGAATTACCGAGACGTCTGTATTCAGGAACCGGTGTCGAACATCGTCGTCTTCGAACAATTTAAGTATAGAACACTCCCAATGC